CTCCTCCTGGCCTCTCCTCTTCCAGCGGAGCCAGGGTCCCTCTTACTAAAGTGCTCTTCCAGATTGGCAGTTCCAGTGCCTTCCTGCCCAGAGAGCGGGCCCTAGAGGTCCCCTCCTTAGGAACCTCCTCCAACCAAACTGGGCTCCAAGTTTGTGGGGACATCAGGGTCTTTCCTGCTCGGACCTCAGTCTGGAACTCTCTCTGCACACCACTGTGCTGGCCAACTGGGCTGATCCTCCAAGAGCCAACTGAAACTCTCCCATTGTCCACTCTGGTGTCACCCCGGACCCTTCCAGTGTAGAGGTGACACAGCGGGACTTAATTCTATGGTCATGTGATCATAGTCTTCCTCACTGGACTCTTGCCCGTGGTACCCGGCATGTTGAGCCCTCTTGTCAAGAAGGACCGTGTCCTCCACTGTCCCCAGCCTTGCCGTTAGCACACGGTTCCCCATCTTGTGTGTTCCTTGCAGGGGAATATCCACGTGGCCCGCCTCCCTGCCACTGCATTAGTCGTGGCCCCGTGGCCCACCCACACTCGTGACCTGGAAATAATTGCTGCTTCTCTTAGAACTCTGAGGGCTTTCTAGTTCTACTCTTTGTTTCATTTGTTACTTTATACTTAGTGTGCATTACTGTATTTTAAATACAGAAAAGTATTGAAATGGCCCATAGCCCCACAAACCAGATAACTCCTGTTAACAGTACTTAAAAATGAAGACTCCTAGTGAGGATGGTTGGAAGGGGGAAGGTCACAGTGGTGCACAGAGGCATGAAATGGAGCCTTCCTCCTCCCTCCAGCCATCCAGCCCTGGGGGCCCTCCCACAAAGAACCACCAGGTCTGTGTGGCCTGGTGGGGAAGGGGTGGTATGAATCATAGGTGATTTAGGTCGGTAGCATTTTAAACAACTCATTTACACCAGTGAGAACCACATGCTTATTTGCTTGGGCACGAGGGCCCAGGTGAGCCTCTTGCTGCAGGACAGACCTGGTGCTCTGAGGACTTGGCAAACATATTTCTGGAGGGCAGGGCAGGGCCGAGTGGGCTTGTGGGTGCGCGTGGGTGCACGTGTGGGAGCAGAAGAGCCCTGTCTCCTGGGGCACACACTGATTGTACTCGCCTCTGGGAGGTGGGATCGCTTTCCCAGCACTGCTCTTCTGGGCCAACATGAGACCACAGTATGCACATGGAGCCCTGGCATTCCAGGACTTCGATGTTTGGAGACAGGGCCATGGTCACAAAGTACATGTCATGTGACAGTCCCTCTTGGCTGCAAAGTAGGCAGCCCGGGAGCGAGGGAGGCGCATTCCCTCCCACCGGGTGCTGAGAGCAGAAGGGGCAGGTGCTGCTGGCGCACCCACAGCTGGGGCCCTTCCCGAGTTCAGGGCACGGAAGTAGCCCTGACCCTCCAAAACGGCTTTCCCTAGTCTCCCCGAACTCCATCAGCCCGGCGGATCAAGCTCTCGGTCTCTGTGCCCCCTTCCTGCCCAGCCTTTAGACCTGTCCCCTTCACAAAGCTCGCCAAGCCTCAGCCCTGGCTCCGCGGACTTGTGCTCTCTCTGCTGCTCAGACCGCAGGCACGGGGGACGCGGACGACAGTCCCATTTTGCCTCAATCCTGTGCCCTTGAAGGGTCGCCTGGAGGACAGTGAAGGGGACTGGTGGGTTTTCAGAGGCATTCTGATGCCGGCTCTCTTGCCCTTTAGTAAAAGGTCTGTCCTCCTGGAAGGTGAACGCCTGCGGGACTGCCTGCCCGCTGGACGCTCTCAGCTGCTCCGGGGCTCCACCCTGGCCCCAGATTTCAGCCTCTGTCCTTGTGCTTTCTTGTCGTGGAGGGAAATGAGCGCCAGCCCGCCTGCACCTGCGCTGGCGCCCGCCCTGGGGGATTAGGCTGTGTTACTGCGTATAAATTGCTGTAATCTCTGCTGCAAAGGAGCTTATGTGCCCCTGTGACTGGGGGCCGGCAGGGAGGGGGGTCTTTCTGCTGAAGTGGCTGCACAGGGCTGTGCCTACCTCAGTGGGTCCCACTGTGCTTTTTCAAGCCCTCGAAGGATGGGCTTCTGTTCCACTTGAAGGAAAAGGCTGCTCATACCAAGTCTGCTTCGTCAAACTTGGTGTAAATGCAGTGAAAGTGTCAATGTTGCAATGCATCGGATCGGATTACAGCAATGACTTCCAGTAGGAAAAAACCCTCCTCCTGTTAGTTTTGCAGTGCTTCAGGGTTTTGGGCTTTCTGCAGGGATGTAGGGGGGTGGTGGGGAGAGGGGGGTGGTGGGAATACAAAAATCTCCAACCAGAAACCATAGGGCCAACCAGATTAGGGACTGGTTTGTCAACAGGGCAGTTAAACCACTTAGGTGCCTGTCGTCAGATACTTTTTCGATGCATTAATTTGCCATTTATCCTATTCCAGTTATGAGGGTTTTCCTGTCTTACTACAACAATCAAAACCAAAATTTTGTCCTTTAAAGAACATTCTAGCTGCATTTTCTTTAAAACAGTAAGAGTTGTTATGCCTGACTGATTTCTAATGAGAAAATATAACAAGAAATTGATCAAGTCATTTAATAATGCATATCAGGCAAGCTCTGGAATCTACCTAAACGGTTCTCTCCATCCAGCAGTTTGTCACAATTAAGCCAGCGAAGCCTCTGGGCTGCCACCTTCCCTTTCCTCTTGCTGATGTGCCACGACTCAACACCGCATGCCTGGCTCGATGCGACCTACACGTTCCCACTGGAGAAAGGAAAACGCTTTTAGCCAAATCCCTAAGTGACCTTCACATTTATTAATTCTGAATTAAGTTCGGGTCTTTCTTTAGGCAAAGGCTCACTTCCTGTTACAAAACAAAAGGGGAACTCTCAGCCATAGGCTCAAAATGCCTTCGGAAAGCTAGAAATTTCCTAAAATGCACATTCAAGGAGTTGGGAAGGAAGCATTTTGCATTTTTTAAGTCTGTCTCCCCTTGTGGATAACACTGTCATTAATCACAGTATGAAAATATGCATACTGGGCAGTTGAGTCAAGAAGGAAAGACCTTCTCCTCCACCACCCTGTTCCCACTTCGGTGAATTCCTCTGGGGTTTTAGTAACATATTTAGAGTTTGATGCAGTGGTGAACATACGGTGTAGCCACTTGCTCCCCTGCTCCTTTACCGCACACTTGAAACCCCTCTTTTGGTCCTTTGAAATCATCGTTAATGGCTGCCTTCTCTGGTAGGGTTGAGAACTTTCCCAGCGTCCACCGCCTCGAGCGCCCCACATTCTACCCCGAATAACTCGGCAGCGAGCCTCGTTGGCACACAGCCCGTCTTGTGCTTGGACCATCAGATTTCCAGAAGTGAGCCATCTACCTCTAGGGCCGAGGGACCTGGTGTTGGTCTATTTCTGACTTAACAGGAAGCCATTTGGTATTTGACGTGGTCAACGTTGACATTTTGTGCCTGCTAGCAATTCCAATAAAACCTTTTAAAAATAAACTTGAACTCAGCCAAATGACCTTCCAGAAATACGAGGGGAATATTGCACACGGAATCTGGGTTATACCATCCCATGAGAACGGCAGCCCCACAAACCCAACTCTGGGACTGCATCACTGAGTCACTACGAAGTGAGAGAAAAGGCAGATGGGTTTATGGGTGAGTCAGGGAGTGAAGAGAGGCAAGTTCCAGACAGACGGCCTGTTTGGGAACAAGGTCCGTTTCTCGGCTCCCGGGCCACAGGCATCCGTCCCAGGAGACGGGAGGGCAGGGGTCAGGAAGGGGTGTGGCCGGCTCGAGATAAGCGCCGCTCTTTCCAGACTTCACAAGGCAGTGGGGGTGCGGGGCGAGGTGTGGACGTGACCAGAGGCACCGGGCATCCCTCCTCGCTTTCAGTGTTCGAAGATGGAACTACCAACCACGCTCCTGTGTTCTCAACAGGTTTGGAGGACTCCCTAGGTATTATATCATAATTATAGCTTATTGTCACTTCGCATCTGTAGGTCTTGGAAGCCAAAGCGCGTGACTAGATTGGAAGGTGGTTTCGGCTATGGGCTGGTTAAGGCCTGGGGCCTGGAGAGCAGACGATGAAGGAAGATGTGGGGCGTCTCCTGGTTAGCAAAGGACAGCTGGACACCCCTGTTGGGCCCCAGTGAGCCGGAGATCTCTGAGAGCCAGTCTTGGACTCAGGGAAGGCCGGGGCTAGCGCTTGTCCACGGGCTGGAGCGGGCAGAGGGCTGGGGGGGCTCGCCATGCGGTCATCGGTAACGAGCGCTTGAGGTTATGATTCACGGGCCTTCTTTAAAATTAGGTCTGGGGATGGGCCTTTCCTTCTCCCAAAAGGATGTGCCTTCCGGCAAAAACTTGCCAGGCCCAGTTTCTCTGATGCGGATTGTCAGGGCAGTCCCTGGCTGGACCACATCCTCAAGAGGATGTGACTTTTATGGCCTGCCGGCCTGGCGGGATGGGAAAGCCCTGTCCAGCCCCAGACGGTATCCCGCGGGCCTGGGGTGGGGGGGTGGCGCGGGCGGGTTGCTGGACAGTCTCGGCCGCTGAGCCTGCCCAGGAGCTGGGGCTTGGCTGCCAGGTCTTCCCCGAGCTAGGAGGATGCTTGGCTTCCATTACCTGCCCCACTGGGGACCCTCCAGTTAGCTCATGCCCTGCAGGGCCATGTCACCACCCTCACCTCCTGGCTAAGGGCCTGACGCTGCCCCCGTTTGCCCCCCAGTCATGGCTGCAGCAAACGGCTGCCCCCGTGTTGCTTTGGGAGGTGAGTTTATCACAGAATCTGTTTCGCCCCAAAGTCTGTCCCCTCGTCACCCACTGAAGTGCACGGTTGGGGTTAGGGTGAGGTTCTGCTTGCCCTATTTCTGGCTCCGTGTGTTTGCCTTTTTCTGCCTCCACACAGTCCCAAATTAGGAGGAAAATGTCCACAAACTGCAAGATTGGGGAGAGCATGTGACACATACAGACTAGCATAGACTGGCACTCCGATGCTGCAGATTGTCTCAAAATGACTTGTCGGAGAGGATGTAGAGTTGCCAACTTTGGAGACAGATGCTGTGCAAACTGAACCCCTCTGCGGACTGGGACAGTTCCTACCTGGGGCGAGAAGTCGCCGTGGCGGGGTTCTGAAGGGCAAGCAGCTCTCCGTCCTGCGGATGTAGGGGTGCCGCCAAGCGGGGCTCCTCAGGCAACATGGAAGCCAGATTCGAGGGGTGCCCCACAGGATGTCCTGGGCTCTCTCAGCAAAATGTCTCTCTGTGGGAGATAGATTCGCCGCTGGAATACGGCTCCGGGGGATTTCACAGACCTGGGTCTCCCGAACTAGCCGGGGCTGGGGGTGGGGACAGATGGGGGACAGTGAATCCATCATGCCGTTCCTTATAACCCAGCTGATGCACCAGCCTGTGGTTATACAAACCCGGGAGAGTTTGGGATGAAGGGCAGGGCATAAAAATACAAAGAACTGGGTTTGGAAAGTGTTTGGTTTGGCACTGGGGGGAGAGAAGCGGCCCCAGAACCAGGCAGACCTGGGTTTGGGTCAGCGGTGGGCTGGAGTGGGCGGCTCTCCCCAACCCTGCATTCGGTGACCCCACGCCGGTCCAGTAGCCTGCAATCGGCCGAGGTGGGAGTATTTATACCCCGGGAGAGGGTAAATGCTTCGAGTCAGGACTTCTTTTCTTTCCTTGTCTGTCTGGAGTTGGCCTTCCCAGCACAGCAACTGGTTCGCACTGGTTGGGCTCAGGCCCTGTGTGAGTCTGCCAGCCACCGAGTGACCTCGGGCAGGTTCCCGGTGGTGCCAGGGCTTGGCTTTCTGCTCTAAAATGGGCAGTTATGACGACCTCGTGAGACTGATGAGAGAATCCACAGAACCTGGTTCTTTCAGCGCCTGTCCCTGTGTTTCAGTTAACGTGTCCCCCCCCACCCCGTGTCCCCACCTCGAAATTGCAGTTGCTCCAAACTCTTGCAGACCCGTATCCGGTGACTCATCAAATCCCACAATCCCTCCTGGATCTAAAGTCACCAGGGTGGCCCCTCCCACCCCATCGTCTCCCCACAAAACTGCCTGGATCGGGCAGGTCCTGCCCATTTCCTGCTCCTCCGGTCCAGCTGCTTCTCGGCCATCGGACTCTTCTTTAAAAAGACAAACCGTATTTGTCCTCTTCTGCTTAGACGCAACCCCGGTTTCAGTCCAGACATCGAGCAAGGCCTGACTGCCCCGCGGCGGCTCTGCTTGGCCCACCTCTCCCCCTCCTCTATCTTTCCAGCCGCATCTGAGCTCAGCAACCCCTGCCCCCATCACCACGCCTCCCTACCCAAGAGGAGACAGGAAATCCCTCTTAAAACTGCAAGCGGGGGCCCATTCTGGGCTTGGGAGGCCGGCCCCGTCTCTCCTGGGCAAATGTGCAGGTTCCGTGGCAGTGTGACCCTCTCACTCTGGCCTGTCTGGGCCCGGTAGGTGGAGCTCCATCCTGCCGCCGCCCCTATCCGAGGCCCCCTTTACTCACCTTTGTAGGCCCTGGCTCCTCCCTGGGGGCTTCTGGTCTCCATCTGCCCGTTGTCTGGCTGTCACACCAGGCTGGCCCAGACGGAGCCTCGCTCACCTTTGTGACTCACCAGGGGCCTGGCCGGCCCTGCTGTGTAGCCAACGTCAGTTTCCCTTGACTTCTATTCTAGGCTCTTGGCTGGCTTACTTGCCAAGGGGAATTAACAAGTGAGATGAAATATTTCTATACAGACAGCCTGGGACATTCAGTTTTTAGGTGAAAACAATCGAACAGCTTTCAGTAAGAACTGCAAGAACAAGAACCTTACTTCAGAGACGTGGAATGCTTTCCCTCTTGAATCATGAAACTAACATTTATGGAACAGTTACTAAGTGCCAGGCACTTTGTATGTTACTTCATTTACTGTTCCCTCAATCCCTGTGAGATCAGTATTCTGACCTCAGTTTATAGGGGAGGAATGGAAGCTCAGAGAGTTTAGGTGACATGCCCAAGGTCACAGAGCTAATAAATGGCAGATCCAAAATTCACACCAGATCAGCCTTTTTTCAAAAGCCACGTCTCGGTTGGGGGGGGGGGGGGGGGTGGGAGGGGAGGGAAGGCAGTGTATCTACTTGTCAGGGAATTTACTGTCCTCAATTTAGAGCACTCACAAAGTACCAGGATGTGGGAACCCACTGAATGAGGGTGTTTTCAGAACCATAGAAAAGGGCAGAATGCATAAATACTTTATCTTTTACTCTTCCTCTCCCTTTTTAAATGCTGAATTTTTTTTAAGACTCCCCAAACACACAATTCAACATAGATACAGTAAAAAATTTTTTTTTTCAAAATACACAGTATTCAGAAGAATTAAAGTTCCAGTAATGGTGGAGTACCTTGTATCAGACTCACTCTCCCACTGATAGTGATGATAAACTACAGACAAAGTAGCAAACATGCGCGCCCACACACACACCGCCAGAAAAAAAAATTTAAAGATTTGAAGGCACTAGAGTGACAAAAATCAGACAGATACAGGAGGAGATTTGACCCTTGAATGATGGGAACTACATATTGTTATAATTACACATGTTATTTATCCTGCTCTTCCCTGGAGGGCACCCTCCTGGCCACAGAGCATGGGGTGGGGGCGGATAGGGACGCAGAAAGTTCCACTGTTATTGGCTTGAGGTGTCAGAGGATGAAGTTTAGAATTAACAGAGTAACTGGCACTGGAAGAAAGAAATCCCAGGGAGATGTGGAGGAGGGACGCTCCAAATCTGCATATCAACTCTGTTCCCAGAGTCAGTTCCTCCTGAACTATGCTTGCAATGAGGAGACTCCAAGGAGCACAGTGTAAAGCAATAGCTGTAAGGCAGGAAAAGCTAATCGAAAATTTCAGCTGCTTCCCATTGCACTGGAGTCAGAGTGTGGAGTTAGGATCCCACTTAGTTGGAGGAGCTTCACAAACACCTGGGGGTTTCTACTGAAACCCCAAAGGTGCTGCATATTCAGAGCAAAGACTATGTCTCAGATTTATCCTAACACCAGTGGTGAAATCAAAACAGACTTCTCCCAATAAGTGTGAAAAACAAGCCTCCACAAAATCAAGATGATAAGCAGGGAATTTAATAGGTATTCACAAAAATCTACACTCTTCAGAGGAAGATAACAGGATCCAGAGTTTGTACAATCTCATTTATGAGGTCTAGAATTCCCCTCTTAGTCAAATCTTTCTTAGTGCCTTGGGCAGAGTTTTAGGCATGGCTCCGCATTCCCATTCTGGACCCCCCTTTGCACCACACCTTGGTAAGTTCTAATACTTACCTGAGGGCTTCTTGTCAAGATCTGCTGGTTGTCTGGCTGCCACACCAGATTGGTAACTTTTGATTAGTAGACGTGTGTGAAAAAACAGAGAAATGTGACCTATGGTCAAGAGAAAATTCAGGCCATAGAAACAGACCTGAGATGAGCCAGATATTCGTATTATCAGATAAGTCTTTAATAAAGCAAGTATAAAATATTCAAGGAGTGACTATAGGGAATCTTAATTGAGAAATAGAAAATAGAAAAAAGAATTTCATAGGTATTCTGAAAAATACAATATCTGAATGAAGAATTCACTGGATAGACTTAACAGCATATTGAAAATTACAAAAAGTTTTGGAGTTTTTTTTGAGATTAAAGAAATTAGCAAACCACTGCAAAACTGATCAAGAAAACAAGAGAACAAAACACAATTTACCAATATCAGAAATGAAACAGAGGATATCACTACAGATCCTGCAGCTATGAAAAGAGTAGTAAGAGACTATTAACTTTATGCTAATAAATCCAATAACAAAGATGAAATGGACCCATTTAAAAACACAATTTACCAATATTGATATGAGATGAAATAGATAATCTGAATAGCCTTTCATACAATAAGAAATTTAATTTGTAATTAAAAACCTGGCCAGAGGAAAAACTCCAGGCCAGATGGCTTCACTGGTGAATTATATCAATATTTTATAAAGAAATGATAACCAACCTCACAGAAACTGTTAGGAGGTAGAAGAGGAGAGAACACGTCCCAATTTCATTTTTAAGGCCAGCGTAACCCCAATACCAAAACCTGACAAAGATACTGGAGGCTTTGTAGAGGACTCTGGCTCTACAGAGTGGGCCCCACTATCATGTCCTCCACTGCAAGGCCTCTCTTCATGGGACACCCTTTCTCAGTTCCGATAGTGCCACTTGCCATATTCAGGAAACATTTGTTACCTGCTGGGTCCCTTCTTCTCCTTCTTCTTCTTCTTCTTCTTCTTCTTCTTCTTCTTCTTCTTCTTCTTCTTCTTCTTCTTCTTCTTCTTCTTCTTCTTCTTCTCCTTCTTCTTCTCCTCCTTCTTCTCCTTCTCGACTCCTTCTTTCTTCTTCTTCTTCGATTTATTTATTTATTTTAGAGAGAGAGAGTGCAGGGGGTGGCACAGAGGGAGAGGGAAAGAGGGTCTCAAGCAGACTCCACACTCACTGCAGAGCCCCATGTGGGGCTCGATCTCACAACCTCCAGATCATGACCTGAGCCGAAATCAAGAATTGGACACTGCTGCTCAGCCAACTGCACCACCCAGGCGCCCCTGGGCCTCTCCTGCTTCACTGTTCCAACGTTGCCAGGCACAAAGATAAATCCGGGGTCTTGCTAATATCCCCAGTCCGACTCAGGATGGGGGCATCAGTTCCCTCTGCTCTTAGATTCCCAAGAAACTAAGGGCTTAAGAAAGATAGGCCAGAGACAGGAAGCCCACCTCAAGCTCTGCTCTGCCCCTTGCTTCTCCTCCTCCTCATCTAAGGGATCTTTATGTCATCTCCTGGGCATGAGATACTAGCTCTGACTTATCTGCATCCTTTCGAAAATCAAAAGTCAAGAACCTTGGCTATTTATCATCTATGTTCTGCTGCAACAACCATCCCTTGAGGAAATGGATGTCTCATAGGCCTGCTGTTTGACTGAGGGAACAACGTGGGGTAACAGGAGATAGTGGTGTGGAGGAAATACTTGTCTTCAGAACATGATTCTGCCATACTTTTCTGTAATAGGGACTGCTTAAATAAAGCCTGGGCAGACAGAGAGATAGCTCGATGGGACAGGCTAGAGAGCTCAGAAGCAGGTCTGTGCACATGGACATGAGATGTTACAGGGTGGCCTGAGGATCTGCGGGAGAGGACTGACTTCTCAACAAATGGTGCTGGGACAGTTGAGTAGAATGAGATCCCAACCTTATGCCATAAGTGGAATGGATTAAAAACCTGAATATGAAAAGCAAGACCATACAACTTTTAGAAAGTAACATGGGATAATATCTTCTTGATCCTGGGGTTAGGAAGGGTTTCTTAAACAAGACCCAGAAATGTACTAACCATAAAGGCAAAGACTAATACATTCATATCAAAAGGCATCATAAAAGGAACAAAAAGATAAGCCATAGACCAGGAGAAGATATTTGCAACACATATAAATGACAAAATACTTATATTTGGAATACATAAGGCACCCCCTATAAGCCAATAAGAACAAGACAGACAACCCATAGTGAATGGGCAAAAGATCTCAACAAGAATTGCACAATGAAGGGAATTCAAAGGGCTAATAAACATGAAAAGATACTCAATATTGTTAGTAATCAGGAACATGCAAATTAAAACCACAGTGAGATACTCTCACACATCATTAGAGGAGTAAATCATTTTCAAGTCTAATGAATGATCCCTAGTGTTGGTGAACACAGAGAGGAATGAGGGCTCATCCACTGTTGACAGGAATGTACATTGGGATAGACACGTTGGAAACAAGTTTGGCATTATCTCATCAAGTTGATGACACACATATTGTCTTAGGAGCAATTCTTCTCATAGCTACGTATTCAGAAGAAATGCATGTGCACTAAGATTCATATACAAGAATGCTCACTATAATATTCATTGCTCATGATAGCCAAATATCGGAAACAACTCAAAGGTTTCCAAACAATAAAAGTAGATGAAGAGAGTAAGTATATATGGATATAGGGAATACTATCTAGCAACAAAAGCTAATAAACTATTGTTACATGCAACCCTGCGTGAATCCAACAAAAGAATGAAAAAAAGTCAGCAGAAGGATATTACTGTATGTTTCCATTCCCATAGAATTCAAAAAACAGCCAAATTAAACAATGTTGTCTAGAGATGAATCCAAAGTTGGTAAAACTGCTAGGAATAAAAGGGAAATAATTATCATAAAGACAGGCTGGTTGTTGAATCTGTCAAGAAAAGGGTTTCTGGGGTGCAGGAAAGATTCTGTTTCTTTACCCAAGTATTCATATTATAATTACTGTTTAAACTGTACATATGCTAATTAATGGCCTTTTTTATATTTATTAGCCATCTCACAAAAGAAATGAATGAAAAGAAAAACTGAAAAAAAGAAAAAACCATGGCACTATATGCTGGATCCACTAAAACTCATCTTCCTGAAGACACTTCTACAACATGGGACGTTGTTCATATACTAATAAGAATAGGGAGCAAGTTACAAAACCATATATGCACGACATGAACTCAACTTAGAGGGGAACCCATGTATTCGCGGAGAAAAGATCTGATGGGAAAACCTCAAAAATGTCAACAGCAAT